ATTAGGTCAACAGAATGAGTTGATCTGATAGCAATCTAATAGCAATCCTTAGGGCCCTTGATTAAGAGTAAATTAAATTCATGAGAACATGGCTTCTGCCAGGGGCCTTTGTGCTTTGTCATGTGCTCAGCAGTCCTCACCTAGAAGAAATGAGGAGACTGTGTCCATTTTTGTAAATTACCTATTTTCAAATAAAATGTTTATTTTAGTGACTCTATATAATGGCACTGTGTGGGGTGAGGAGGGTCCAAGGAGGACTTTCCAGATTCCTTCCCATCTGATACTGAATCATTACAGCTAAGTATAAAGTTAATATAGATTTCTGCTAAATGAGAGGCATCTGTATAATATTCACATACTAGCTACTATCACACATTGTCATCTATGAGATATTTATCTCTTATTAATCTATTTTCAAAGATATCTAATGTAAATTAGCTATAGCCTTTAAAGAGAGAATTTACTTCCTGATTTTTAAAAAAAGGCAAAAAATGGCAAAAATAGGATCATTATTAACAGGCCTTAAAAACAAAGGTATTGATTATATTAATATAATATTAATGTAATCCACTCCTAAATATAGACAGGAAGATAATTATAGCCAGCATTCAGTATATAATGTCAAAAAATGTGTATTTCTCTATAAGTGAGCATTAATAAGCCAATACTAATAAAATAACCATAAATCTCATTTTCACTTTTATTATGGTTGAAAATCATATTTAATCTGTCTTAAAAGGTAAATCACATCATTAATTTTTCAGAATATTTTTACAATAATATATTCATAAAAATCTTTGGATTTTATTTAATCTGTAAAAGCAAATCACATAATTAATTTTTCAGAATATTTTTACAATAATATATTCATAAAAATCTTTGGACTTATAAGGATTTAGAAAAATTATCTGTCCCAGGCTTTCGTAATTTATTAAATCATATGAAAAGACTTATTTGCTTCATTCATGGAGCTATTCTGTCAATTTTATTACCATCCTACTCAACTTGACTGAAAAAAACTGTTAAATATATTTTTATTTTCAAATGTATTTTAATTAAAAAAAGTTATTATATTGGAACTTTGTCTTATATAACAATTACTTTATTTTAAAACATCCTTTTACTTGTTAATTGTTGCACAATATGCCAAATTCAAAACAGCTCCTCTGTCTTTTCTTACCTTCTTTTTTCCTTCTTAGCCCTTCTTTCTTTCATCTCTCCTTCTACAAATATTTATTGAGGGCCTAATATATGCCAAGTACTATATTGAATATTCAGACAAGTGGAAATTATGGAAAAATTATTATAGCCAACTTAACAAGAGCTATAATGAGATGTAAAATATACTCCCCAAACACTTGAACATAACATTATCATTACCTGGCATTTGTTTTTTGTAAAAGATCTGTCTCTGCCACAAGATTTTAACACATCTGGAGCTGGAACCCTATCTTGTTCTCCTATAAATCATTTCTACCACTCATCTCTCACCACTCAGCACATTGCTTTATGCATAATGGGCCTCCAGTAAATGTTTGGTTAAGCAGAATATGCTTACAATAGTACATACATACAATATGGAGGCTTTCTTTAAAATAATAACTTTAAAAATAACTTCAGATGCTTATTGTGCAGAATTGGAAAATCCAAACAAGTCAAGAATAAAATTCAAATCATCTACATCCTCATTTCCAAGCAATAATAACCATGATGCACACTTCAATGCATTTCTTTCTTTCTGGTCTTTTCCTTTATGTATTTGGGAAGTAACTGGACATATATATTTACATATAATTTTGAATTCTAATTTTTTCACTTTTTATATTGTGAACACTTCCCACATAGTAGATAACCCTAAATATTGGTCAGTAAGGCTACCTAATATTTTATCATAAATTTTTATGATTTAAACATTACATGATTATTGGACAATTACTTATTTACAGTGGTTTGTAATTATGAATAATTGCATGGCCATAGTCAGTGTCCTGGATACATAAATCTTGTTTACTCTCACTGATTATTTTCCTAAGGACTATACTTGAGAAAATAGCCACATATAGAAAAAAATACTTGGCTATTTATTAATTATGTTGTAAATTCCTTTTTGTTCTAGGCTGAAGTTTTTTAAAAAATTCAGTCATTATTACTCATTGTTAAAAGAAATACACCTTTCTTTAAGAAAACTAATTTTAACATTTTCTAGACCATTAATACTCAGAAAGGCAAATTATTTTAACAAATAGTTATTTTCCACTACATTTCCTATCATGTCTCACACATAGGTGGTTGTTAATGCTTTTTGAAGAGGTAAATAAATAGAAGAGATGGAATGGAACAGAATAAAGGGAACAATATAGAAGAGCTTAATAAATGAGTTATGTTGGTAACTATTCCTATTTGAATGCATTAGCAAAATTTTAAGTCTTTTTTTCATAGCATTTTAACGATCCTCAAAAGTCATGCAGTGTCACTTCTACCATTGTCTTTTGGGTCAGATAGTGACAGGCCAGCCTAGACTCAAGAAGATGAAAGAAGAGGCTCTACCTTTCAATGAGGGAAGGGCCTGCATGTACAGGGAGGAAGGAGTGATGGTGTCCATCTTATATACAGGCTGACACAAAGTCCTAAATGCTTTCCTCAAATGCCATCTTTATCTTTACCATACAATTTAAATGTGCCTTTCCTTAACCCACACTTTCTTTCTTTCATTCCTTCAATTAAAACTACTTTCTAGATTTACAATGAAAGGAGGAAAGACCTGTGTACTCCTTGCTTCTTTGGACAAATCAGGCTTTACAAACAGATTCAAATTCAAATCTTAGCTGTACCATTCACCAGTAGAATGACTTGGGCAAAAAAAACGTCTTCTCAGAAGAATGGATTCTCTGATACCCATTGCCTACTATAACACCTAACATATAATAAGGTTATTGACTTATTTATTATTTATTGACTAACCAATCTCTGAGATTCCATTATGTCCTCTATGAAATAAGGAGAATAATGTCAACCTCACAGTGACATAGAAATAAACGAACAAGTTATTGTTTGCAAAATATTTAATACAGGGCCTTAACACAGTAAAGTGAGGATTTGGTAACTATTAGTAATATTATTACAGTTAATATTCTCACCATTATTTATGTTATCAGCATTATAGTTGCTCTTTATATTTGTGTCACCACAGTCTAACAACTTGTTAGACATCTTCTTCATCCCCTCGATCTCATTTATTTACCTCGCCTCATCCTTAGCTACTGTTTTAATGCTTTAAACATTCATATTGATGACAAATCAAACATATTCTTCCATAAGTCCTTGACCTTGTCAACCTTAATCATATTCCCCACTCCACTCCAAATAAACACAAATTCTCACCCAAAAGTACCCTACATTTAAATCACAAACTCTGGAATTTTCTCTTTACAAGTTCCAATTCTTATATCTTCTCATCATGCTTTCCTTGATTCCTTTCTTTTATTCTAGCTTATCAGCAACTTTCTGGTTTTGCTTGACTCCCTAGTCAACCTTGACACCATGGCCATTCACACCATTGGCATCTTTGATGATAAGCCAAACCAAATTTAAAAATTCCTAAACCTGAATGGAATCAATTGAAAAAAATGTTCACTTCTCCTTTCCTAAAAATGTCATTTGCTTCATGAGCCTTTTAAAATTATTTTTCCATCTCCTTATTCCTTCCCTGTTGAAATTCTCTACCCACAGGTCTTTACTAATTGCCTCCATTTCTCCAGTACTCCACCATTTCTTAGCTCCTTATAGTCTAGCTCAGCCCCTCCTGATCAGACTTTGTAATCACCAAATCTGACTCAGCAAAGTTAGACTAGAAAGCCAGGACCAGAGACAGAGAAAGTAGTTAACTCAGTCTATTCAGATTTAAGAATTTATAGATTGGTTTGGTTTGTCACAAAAGATGCAAATGGTGTGAATGACAATCAAGGTGGATTAGGGAGTCAGGTGACGCCAGAATGGTGCTGGTAGGACTAATTCAGAAAATAACTTAAAATACTTAAGAGCGTTTTGTGTTTGTTTGTTTTCATTGAAAATAAAAGCATCCTTGCAGGCTGAATTGTCTATACTAGAGAATAGAAGAATGTTAATAAGAAAATTGGCATGCTTTCCAGCCTCTAAAATGTAAACACTCTACATATCTTTAAATGCTATTAGATATCACTATTTTAGGAGTGATAATACAAAGGTATATTTCTCCATCAGATCACAGTTGTTTCTTGAAGCTAGAGTCTATACGCTCATAGATTGATTATCTCTATTCTATACCAATTTTTCATGAGCATAAGGAAAATAATCTCTATTCAGCACTCTCCCACTCCCACCAAAAATCATCACCATTATCATCATCATCATCAAAATCACGCCTTCTTTTAACACCCCACAAAATTTTTCCATGCCTCCCTTCTAGAATATACCCTTCCTTGGCCTGAACTATCATTATTTCAGAGCTCTTCATATTTCCCCTGTTAAAGTTTAAGCTACTTGATAGTCACATCACAGTATTTGTACACTGCAGGTTTCCTGAACATGAAAATTAGGCCCATAAACCTATACCTTTTTAGTAATGATGGGATCTTTTTTTGTTACTGATACCATTGCCTATCACTCTCTGTTGTTGCCTCTGTAAACTGTGGTTGATGTCAATAGTCGTAGTTGATATTTAATTCATATTCTTGTGTATGTTTCTAATTATATTTCTCTTTTCCTATAAAATATAATGCTAATTGGTAATTGCCTCCAAGCACAAAATGTTAGGAAAAAAATCAAATCTATAATTAAGTTACCAGCAGAAATCATGGAAACTGCCTTGCATTCCATCTCTTTCTACTGTCAATTTCCACTGGTAAATATATATTTCATTAAGATGGTTAGACAGTTCGATTGTATCTTTATTGGAAATACAATTTCTCATGGCTCCTCATCATGGCTTGCACTTAACTTTATCCATTCCCTTTTGCCTATAGGTCCCCCAGGCCCACCAGGGGTAGTGATTGTTGAGGAAATCACCGAAAGCACAGCCACACTCTCCTGGAGTCCTGCAGCTGACAACCACAGCCCAATCTCCTCCTACAACCTGCAGGCTCGAAGCCCATTCTCCCTGGGCTGGCAAACAGTAAAAACAAGTAAGAGGCTCTAAGGCAACATCAGAAGCAACCAGAACAGCTTCCTGTGTCATGAGCTGTATTTGCTAGCAATCTTAGTAGGATCATTTTGGATTCTGGAAACTTTGTTATTTATTACGATATTAACCATTGTTTGCCTCTTTTTATAAAGCTATCTTGGTTTCTGGGTGCCTGGGTGGCTCAGTTGGTTAAGCATCCCACTCTTGATTTCAGGCTCGGGTCATGATCTCAGGGTCATGAAATAGAGCCCTAGGCAGCTCTGCGTGGGTGTGGAGCCTGCTTAAGATTCTCTCTCTCCTTACTCTGCCCCCTCCATGTGTTCACACTCTCTGTCTCAAAAAAAAAAAAAAAAAAACTATGTTGCTTTCTTCTCTCAATTCCCAAGAAGGGATCACATCATTTATATTTGTTTGTTTATTGAAATAACTTTAAGCTCAATGGGAAGTTGCAAAAATAGTACAAAGATTTCCTGTGCACTCATTCCTCAGCTCTCCCCAATTATAAAATTTTACATAACAATGGTACAATTATTAAATCAGAAAATTGACATTGATACAATGCTATTAACTGATCTATAGACTATATTCAGATTTCACCAGTTTTTATATGGAGTTTTTAGTGTGTAGTTCCATAACATTTTATGAAATTTTGTTGCATAGACTCAAGTAACCACCAAGACGATCAGGTACAGAATTTTTCCATTACTCCAGTTCCTTGTGCTACCTATTTATAGTCACACATCTGTTTTATTTATAAAAAGAAGATCTAACATAATTTATATTATGTTCACTTCTAAGATGTTTGTGTAATAGTTGCACTATTCTTAAAATCATTTTCTTGCCTGATAGTTTGCTTTCCATGTCGTAACCAAACTCCTATCTCTCCAAATGTAGCTGTCTACAGGGAAATGTGAAGTTACAATCACTTGATAGAGATTAGATACTTATTTAACATATTGGTATTTAAAAGTATGTAATTATCTATAAAATATAATCTTCAGAAGCAGTTGTCCATCCTGAGTAAGGATTTGTGATTTTGTTTTACTTTCTACCTAAATATAAAACGGATTTGTTTAGAAGGGAAATATAAAATCAGTAAAATCCAACCAAATAGGTAAGAAAGAAGTAAAACTCACTATTTGCAGACAACATGATACTATATAGAGAAAACCTTAAAGACTCTACAAAAAAAAAAAAAAAAAACCACTAGAACCATAAATTAATTCAGTAAAGTCACAGAGGACACAAAATTAATATACAGAAATCTGTTGCGTTTCTGTATTATAGTAATGAAGTAACATAAAGAGAAATTAAGAAAACAATTCCATTTATGGTTGCATCAAAAATAATAAAATACCTAAGAATAAAGTTATCCAAGGAAGTGAAAGACCTATACTTTGCAAACTATAAAACACTGATGAAAGAAATTAAAGATGACACAAATAAATAAAAAGATATTCCGTGCTCATGGATTGGAAGAACAGATATTGTTAAAATGTCTGTAGTATCCAAAGCAATCTATAGACTTCAGGTAATCCCTATCAGAATACCAATAGTATGTTTCACAGAAAAAGAACAAATAATACTAAAATTTGTATGGAACAAGAAAAGACCCTGAATAGCCAAAGCAATCTTGAGAAAAAAGAACAAAGCTGGAGGTATCACATTCCCAGATTTTAAGATATACTACAAAGCTATAGTAATCAAAACAGTATGGTACTGACATAAATAGACACATAGATCAATCAAACAGAATAGAGAGCCCACACATATATAGTCAATTAATCTACAACAAAGGAGGCAAGAATATACAATAGGGAAAAGACAGTCTCTTCAATAAGTGGTGCTGGGAAAACTGGGCAGCTATATACAAAAGAATAAAACTGGACTACTTTCTTACACCATACACAAAAATAAACTCAAAATAGATTAAAGACCTACACGTGAGACCCGAAACCATAAAATTCCTAAAGGAAAACATAAAGGTCATTTCTTTGAAATCAGCCACAGCAACATTTTTCTTTGAAGGCAAGGGAAACAATAGCAAAATAAGACTATTGGGATTGCAACAAAATAAAAAACTTTTGCACAGTGAAGGAAACATTAACAAAACAAAAATACAATCTACTAAATGGGAGAAGATATTTATAAATGATATATCTGGGAAGGAGTCAATATCCAAAATATATAAAGAACAACTCAACACAAAAAAAAAAAAAACCCAAATAATCTGATTTTAAAATGGGCAAAGGACTTGAATAGACAGTTTTCCAAAGAAGACACACAGGTGACCAACAGACACACGAAAAGATACTCAATATCACTAATTATTGGGGAAATACAAATCAAAACCACAATGAGATACACATTTGTCAAATGGCTAGTATCAAGAAGACAAGAAATAACAAGTGTTGGCAATGATGAAGAGAAAAATGAAGTTTTTTTTTTAAAGATTTTATTTATTTATTTGAGAGAGAGAGAATGAGAGATAGCATGAAAGGGAAGAGGGTCAGAGGGAGAAGCAGACTCCCTGCTGAGCAGGGAGCCCGATGTGGGACTCGATCCTGGGACTCCAGGATCATGACCTGAGCCGAAGGCAGTCCCTTAACCAACTGAGCCACCCAGGTGCCCGAAAAAAGAAGTTTTGTGCACTGTCAGTAGGAATGCAAATTGGTGCAGCCACTGTGGAAAACAGTATGGAGTTTCCTAAAAAGATTAAAATAGAATTACCATACAAGGGGCACCTGGGTGGCTCAGTCGTTAAGCATCTGCCTTCAGCTCAGGTCCTGATTTCAGGGTCCTGGGATCAAGCCCTGCATCAGACTCCCTGCTCGGCGGGGAGCCTGCTTCTCCCTCTCCCACTCCCCCTGCTTGTGTTCCCTCTCTCGCTGTGTCTCTCTCTGTCAAACAAATAAATAAAACCTTAAAAAAAAAAAAAAGAATTACCATATTAATGAGTAATTCCACTACTAGGTATCTACCCAAAGGAAAACACTAATTTGAAAACATTTATGTACCCCTGTTGTTATTGCAGCATTGTTTATAACAGTCAAGATAGGGAAGCAACCGAAGTGTCCATTAATAGATGAGAGGATAAAGAAGGTATGCTACATATACACAATGGAATAAAGAGGCCCTAAGAAAGAATGAGATCTTGCTATTTGCAACAATGTGGATGGACTTAGAGGATAATGCTAAGTGAAGTAAGTTAGTCAGAGAAAGACAAACACCATATGATTTCATTTATATGTGGAATTTAAGAAACAAAACAAACACAAAAGAAGGAGACAAAAAAAAAAAAAAGACTCTTAAATACTATGAACAAACTGGTGGTTGCCAGAGGAGAAGTAGGTGGGGGGAAGGGTAAAAAGATAAAGGAAATCAAGAGTACACGTATCTTGATGAGCACTAAGTAATGCATAAAATTTTGAATCATTACATTGTATACCTGAAACTAATACATCACTGTATATTAATTCAATTTAAAAAAAGAAAGAAAAAAGGAGAGAATGAAAGAAAATAGAGACAACTCTTTTAAGAAGTTTTTTTGCAAAATGAAGTGAAGAAATCATATTTTGATGTCAGCAATGTTAAAATTTGCTTATGGGTTGAAGTGAGACAGGGAGAAAAGAAAGGAATCCATGATGACCCCAAGATCTTGGCTACAACACCAATTATCATTCACCCAATAAGGAATAGTTCAGAAATAGGGGGTGGAATTTAAGGTTGAGAACCCTATCCAAATAGAAATGTCTAATAGCCATTGGACAAATGAGTTTGGAGTCTAGGGAGGTGGTTCATGGCTGAAAATATTGGCGTCACGACATACAGAGGGTCTTTAAAGCCATGAGACTAGATAAGATCACCAAAGAGTTAGTAGAACTGGGTGCATCTGGAAGATGAAAAGAAACCAGCAATGGAGACTGATAAGGCATAGTCAGGTCAGAGAAAACAGAAGTTTTAAAAAATATTTCAAAGAAGAGAAAATGACTATGTCAAAGAATTATGTTAGGTCAAGAAAGATAAAGAACAGAGACTTAAGCATAGGGTTTTATTAATTAAAGAACATTGGTAATCTTGACAGGAGCAGTTATGGTAGAATGCTGGAGGTAAGAGCCTAAAAGGTGAACTCTCTTCTTCCCACCTTTATCTTTGGAGTGAGTTCAAGAGAAAATGGAAGGAAAATAAGTAGAGACAGCAAATAATAGCACAAACCACACTCGAAAAATTTTATATAGAAACTGGATGAAGGCCAGAAGGAGAGGAAATTTTTAGAGTTTTGTTTTGTTTTGTTTTGTTTTTTGGGAGGGAAAATACCTGCATGCTTATATGCTAATGGAAAAAATACATTAGAGACATGGGCGGGGGTATATACAACCCAGATGGACTGGTTATCCTTCTCTATAATATCTTAAGAGAGCCACCCCTTAAGAGGCATAAAGTTTCCTCATAGGGGATTCAGGTTTCTATTAAAGTAAATGTTGGAAGAATGTTCAGGAAGGAAAATAGTATACAGGGGATTTTGTTAATAATGGATTATGAATTCCAGAGGTCACAGTAAAAGATTTCACAGAGCAGGGAAGGGTGGGAACTAGGGCAGAAAAGGAAATGTGCAGAATTCTATGGGGATTGGAATAAAAGGGATGAGGGCTGACCTAGATGTCTGGAGTTGATTGAGGTGACTGACAGATGTAAATTAAACAGCGAGGTATGTCTTTAGTGGACCAAAACAAGTATTGATGACACAGTGAACGTTAAGGGCTAGAGAGGGCTAAGTGTCTGGGGAACTCTTCTTCCTCCCTTTATGTATGGCAGGCACAACTTAGCATTTAACCAAGCTATGGACTGGACAGTGGCCTTTTTCCCCCTATCTCTTAGACTCCAAGGAGACTGCTCAGTTGCCAGTGCAGCAAGAAGAGAAAGACTTTTCTCCGGGTCTTCATTTCATTGCTTAAAAAAAAACAAAAAAAAAAAAAAAAAAAAAAAAAAATCAGCTTTTTGGTGCTATGAGATTTGTCAGGCAGCCCACACTGCCTATGCTGTGATCATTTACCTTTCATGGAGCTGATTATTTGGTAACATTCTCTTGACACATTTCAAAAAAGATTTTCATGTAAAATCCAAATGCATTTAATTCTATCTTGTCATAGTAAAACTGCACTAAGTCATCAAATCAAGAGCCTCCCCACTCTACCATGCTTAAACAAAAATCCAGGATTGACATAAATCCAGAGGATCTTTGCACATCATAAGAAAGGTTCTCCCTTTTCCCTATTGTCATCCCTGTAAAAAATGTTCTTCCAGAAATATTTCCTAGACAGCAGAGATGAGTGAAAAAGAAAATCAGTCCCGATTAGAGCATGTATACTATATAAAAAGTATTTTACTCTGTGATAATTGTATTGACAATTTTATGCCTTAATAAAAGCAAAATATTGTACAAAAGTCACTCCAAGAAGAGTGCAGAGCTTCTGCTTAGATCCCACAAACTGGAGTTTTTAAATTAAAGAGGAGTATTCTTAATTTGCTGCTTTGAACTGCCAAGTGGCCAAGCATGTTTGCCAGAACTACAAGAGGCAAACTGCTCAAGAAATTTCCCTAGAAATTTAAGAACTATTTGCTTAAATTATGGCACTTAGTTGCCCTCTTATTTGAGGCTGAGGGGTTGACAAAATGATTTTTAGTGTACATAATGGCAAGTTATGTTATAGCAATTTATGTTTAAAGATGAGATGAAAGAATTCTAATTAACTACAACAACCTTTGACATGTGCAAGTGCTTACTCCTGAAGATTGATTTTCATTTTACTAATGAGACCAGAGGTGACACCATGACCGTGTGTATTGTGATGAGGAATTATGCATCAACCTGCTCATTCTGTTAGTACCTGTGATATCCTTGATTGCCGTTTGTAACTATTTCCAAGTCCTCTTAATGCCATGAAATCTCTTTCCTCACCATAGTCCCAGAAACCATAACAGGGGACATGGAGTCAGCCATGGCAGTGGACCTTAACCCTTGGGTGGAATATGAATTTAGAGTGGTGGCCACCAATCCAATTGGAACTGGAGATCCCAGCACCCCATCTCGAATGATCCGCACAAATGAAGCAGGTAAGAATTTTGGAGAGTCAGAATTCAATTTGGCATGCCGCTGATCACTTTGAAAGCAAGTTGAATTAACCATGGTTGTTTGCTTTATTTAGTATAATTTTTGCTGATTCATTTACCTAGACATCATAAAATTATTTCCTTTAAAATAATTATTTCATTTTGTTTTCAGATCTTTTTCTCCTTATTTCCACTAATGCATCTAGATGCTTCAATTTCCTCTCAACCCTAGTACTCATTTTCAAGTTACCATGAAATTGAAGCAGTTAGTTTCTTTTTCTAATTATATACTCATTCAATATAGCAATTCCATAAAATTCAGAATAGATAGGACCACCCTCTTTTTCTCCAGTGATAACAATTAGCTGTAATTGCAGTGAACTTCCTTAGAACCCTTTATGTTGCCCTTCACTATCTGACCTGGCACAAATTATACTCTGCAAAGGCAAACATCATCTTAACTTGCCTACTGCTTGACATCTATGTATACAATAAACATCCATCTGCTTCCTGACTTGGAAAATACAGCATCCTTCTGGCTTTTTGGAATGAAGTATCTCTAAAATGTTTCTAATAGTCACATAAGGGAATTAGCAGCTTTATTTAAAAACAAATTTTAAAATATCTTGCCCAGGGACACCTGGGTGGCTCAGTCATTAAGTGTCTGCCTTCAGCTCAGGTCATGATCCCAGCATTCTGGGATGGAGCCCCACATCAAGTTCTATGCTCACCAGGGAGCCTGCTTCTCCCTCTCCAGCTCCCCCCTGCTTGTGTTCCCTCTTTCGCTGTCTCTGTCAAATAAATAAATAAAATCTTTAAAAAAAATATCTTGCCCAGCATCTGGAGAAAGAAATTTAAAGAAAAAATTTTAGTAAAATGTTTGACTACTTTGAACAAAGTTTTATTGAGATTTATCTCTTACGTCCTTATAAAATTGTATAAATTGTATATTAAATAGTGTGCAATAGGGCATTAGCTTAGGCAAACACAAATGTCAATAATGTTGATGAAAACAGAGAAAAGGGGGTAGATTGCAGATACAGGGAGGGAAAAACAAATTTTAATATTTTTACACTCAATGATAACATATAAATCTCAGTAATCATTAGAATATAAGTGCACTGAGAATGAGGATTTATGTCTAATTTTTTAGTGTTCAGCACCTAAAACAGTGTCTGGCACTGGTACTACATGAGTTTTTGTTGAAAGATTAAAAGGGAATATTTCTTTTTTCCTTCCTACCCACATCAGTACCTAGGTGAGAGATACATATACGTAGAAGACTAAGAATTAACTGTCCATTTTGTATTATAGTTATAGAATTGGACCAAAAAATGTGATTTGTGACTTCTTACAAATTGAACAAAGCCTATAATAATTAAAATAAACTACAAAAAGAGTTGATTCTTTCTCTAAAACACACTAGGTCTGATCCTTTAAAAAAAAAAGAGAGAGAGAAAAAAAAGACCAAATGGTTAATTTATTGTACTAAGTGGGAATAACTGTACAAAAAATATTCAAATTATTTCTATATAAAAATTAAGCAACCAGGAAAAAAAGATAAAATAGCCTAAATATGTTGGAAAAGATTCATTCACAGAAAATCTAACTTTTCTGCTTTTGTGATTTGCTTAGTACAAGTTGTTCTTTCTGCTACTTTTTCAATAGTGTGAATTTTAAATTGAACATTAATTGCCTGGTTAGATTTTCATACATTCATAAATCAACCATGCTTTCATTGTGTACAGGTGTTCACTAATTAAGAGTATAACAGGTTAGTCATTCCTCATTTTATGTACTTACTATGCAGATATTGAAATGACTGCCAATATTAGTACTTATGCTCACATATTTTCCAAAAAGAACTGCCTTATTTTGCATATTGTTAATTGTGTTTAAACAAAGGCAAAGATTACTGTCTAATTCAGAGGCTCTCTATAAATATTCATTTTGAAAATAAATAATCCATTTAGGATGAATAATCCTTTTAGACTTTGTATAGTACAAATCTCTTTGTACTATTAAAAAAGATTATAGCAAAAACACTTCTACTTTTCATGCTAAATTGCATTCAGATGATACATTCTGAAAGACTTGTCCCTCATCTCTTCCAGCAGCTACTTCGATCATATAGTTCCTGCCTCTTCATTTTATCATGAGTTCTATACACATGGCATACATTAGTCCATTAAAATCTCATGGAAGAGAAAAGAAATAGCATGAAAAATTGAAAGTTAGTTGAGGAAGGCTTGTACTGCCTACTTTATGCTTCTTGTACTTTGGTACCACAAAGGGCTAGAGCTACTAATGGTGCTGAACCAAGTGTTGAGTTTTGTGCCTGTTTTATCAGGCAACACAGATTAAAAGGGACACAAATATCCTGAGATGTGCTCTCAAGTGACACATTCTTCATCTTTTAAGTACATGTCCTGTATTTTAATAGATGATGCAGTTCTAATGGACCAAGTAATCTCTGAAAATCAACAGAGCTACTTGTAAGAGAAAAGATGTCACATTCAGATATTGAGTTGATGGGGCACCTGGGTGACTCAGTTGTTAAGCGTCTGCCTTCAGCTCAGGTCATGATCCCAGGGTGCTGGGATCGAGCCCCGCATTGGGCTCCCTGCTCAGCAGGGAGTCTGCTTCTCCCTCTCCCACTCCCCCTGCTTGTGTTCCCTCTCTTGCTGTGTCTCTCTCTGTCAAATAGATAAATAAAATCTTAAAAAAAAAAAAAAAAGATATTGATGTGAAAGTTTTATGTTCCTTTAGGATTCCCCTATTTATTAGAATATTCTAAATCCCAAGACAGGTTTAGTAAAGCATTTTTACTTTGGAATTATTTCTTTCCCACACACCAAAAAAAGTTAATTTTTATTTGCACTTTCCCCTTGGGTATATTTTGAATTTTACTCAAGGGTATGTTTTGAATTTTGCAGCCATCAGAATACCCCTAGCAGTCAATAAGTATAAGATAAATTGGTTCAGTCTGATTTCTTATTATTAGAATATCAAAATAATATGCATATTGTTTTTTACTTTGATGTAAATTTATATTTATTTATTTATAGTACAATTTTCTTACAAGTTTTAGTTAAATGATATAGATGGATAGATAAATGATTGATATAGATAGATGATAGATAGATAGATAGATAGATAGATAGATAGATAGATAGATAGAACCCTGTGTTTAATTTTGGAAATGTGTTACTATCATCAAACCAGTATATGATTTTGGGTTAGGTAATGGAAATGCTTTCTCCATCATTTAAAAAGAGAACACTCAAGAGAAAAAAAAAATCACATCTTAGGAAATGAATTTGAAATACATACTATAATAGAAATGGAAAAATGTGTAAAAATGAATACAACAGTAATTCTCCCATTTAATTGAACTTTAATATTCCATAAGTTATGTATTTATTTTTTTAAAGATTTTATTTATTTATTTGAGAGAGAGAAAGCATGTGCATGCATGAGCAGGGTGAAGGGCAGAGGGAGAGAGAGAGAGAGAGAATCTCAAGCAGACTCCACAGAGAGTGTGGAGCCCAACAGGGAACTCGATCTCACAAGCCTGAGATCATGACCTAAGCCAAAATCAAGAGTCAGATGCTTAATGGACTAAGCCACCCAGGCACCCTACAAGTTATGTATTTATAATACTAATTGTTGAAAGATAAATGAAAAGGAGATAAGATAGAGTTAAATGATGTAACCTATTATCTAAAAAGGTTTGGTCTTCTCTGTAATATAAAATGTCTATTATTATCAAAGCTTTTGTTATAAATCTCAATATTTGCAGTTCTTTATTTCAAATTATGATGAAATAGAGAGATTGAGAGTGAAAGAAAAAGAGAAAAGAAGGTTCTATCTTCTAGTTGTAATTAGGAGTTTGAGTTTTGGAGTTAGGCAGATCTGGATTAATGTTCTTTGCTGTTTACTAGCAGTGAACATAGGTAAGATATATACCTTGTTCAAGGCTCAATTTTCTCACCTATAAAATGGAAACAGAATCACAACCTACTCCATTGGCTCATTTTATTAAGTAAGATAATGCACACTAAGAGCTTAGCATAGTGCCTGGCACATTGTAAATGCTTACTATTAGCCATTTGTCATCATCATCATCATCATCATGAAATTGAGTTATTTTTTTGTTCAATGAAAATTTAAACAATAATAATCATGCATGTCACTTTTTTCATATTGCGGAAATATTTTCAGGTTAAACATCTTTTTGTTGATATAGTAAGAGTCACCCAGTCTCTTGGCTTGCATCAGGCTCCTACAAGATGTCCTCCTATTGAGAAGTCTCTTCTGCAGACTGTATACCAGCAAGTCTGGCCACTCAGCCCACCTGATGGCTTGGGAGTCAAGAAAGCCTTTCAGAATGTGGTGCACAGTACAGAGCATGCCTCTCCTCTAAATCTCTGTCTCCATCTCTGTTTAGCTTTACCATGCTGTATTTATTATCTAGCCAGGTATCAGTCTGCAAGTGGATTGTGATATTGTCCCAACATGTGGTCATTTTCTTTGCTTATAGGATAGACAAAACAAAAGGAGCAGAAAAAAATAAGTGTCAAATGAAAGAACTTGCTTTAAAAATATGTTCCACATTCATATAGCTTTCCAGTTGCTTAACACATTGTATTCTGACCTGCCATTCTTTTTTGACTCTGAAATGGAAAATGACACACACATATTTCAGGCCACACAAGGCAAAATATTTTTTCTGTGTTTAATAGATTAATGCTTGACCAGATAAATAGGAATATCAAGTAGACAATCAGATAAATATCTTTCCTAGCCTTAGCACTTTCTGCACTATCATAGTTATGTAATTGGTTTACTATACAGACTGAACTCTATAGAATTTAAACAGAATAGTTTTATTCTTCTCCCATCATTGCTCTCCATTACGCTTCATCTGATCTCTGACTTCAGCCCCAACGATATATATCCAAGGCACTTTTAGGTATTAGGGCAGTCTCATTTTCAAGTAT